GGGTGATGATGGCTCCGGAAAAGGCAGAGTGCAGTTATACAGCCAGCAGGTTGCCGTGAGTGGGAACCGGCTCAGGACCTGCCAGGAACAGCCTGGACCTGGCCAGACACGGCCTGCACTAGCGGTCTCTACGCTGTGTCTCCCAGAGGGAGCCACAAGGAGACTGGCGGTAGCAACGACCCCAAGGCTACCAGTCACGGGGGTCTGACCTTGGCTCAGCTCTGGCTCAGAGCCAGGCACTATTCCAAGTGCGTGGCGGGCCCATAACAACCTTACTACAGATGGGAGCGCTGTGGCAGGGCCGGAGAGGTTCTGCCCGCTGCCCTAGGTCCCGCTGCTGGTCTGGGGCATGCCATACCACCTGTCCACTAAATGCTAAGGCGGTGACCGGCCCCCCGCTCTGCCTCTCTCTCTGCAGTTGGGAGCTGGAGCAGATGGAAGAGGGAGGCCGTGCCCCCAGGTGCCCCCCTGCCCTGCTCAAGTGGGAGGCCCTGCCACACATACACTGCATCATGCGCCGATCCTCGCTGCTCTGAATGCGGTGCCCATTGTGGAACCAGCTGATGGTGGGGTATGGCAGGCCGGTCACCTGGCACTCCAGCAGGGCCTCCTTGGCCAGCCCCACCTCCAGATCCTGCAGCGGCCGCAGGAAGTCGGGTATGGACAGCCGCTCCAGTTCACCCTGCTCGGGCTCCTCGGGGATGGACGGCATCTTCTCCAGCTTTGAGCTGCAAGAGCCACGTGCTGTGCCGAGTCCTCGGCATGCCTCCCACCCCGGGCCACCCCCCCACCCCAAGGGCAGTCCCTGCAGCCCCCAGGGGGTCTGAGCAGGTACCTGGGGCCCGAGGTGGCTGTCCGAGGCTCCTCCACATAGAGCTGGGCCGAGCAGTGGGCCTGGCCGTGGGTATTGGTGGCACTGACCGCATAGAGCCCCTCGTCCTCGCTGCCCACGTGGGCGATGTGCAGTGAGTGCAGGCCCCCGTCCTGCCGCAGACGCAGGTTCTCACTCTCCTCCACGGGCCGGCCTGGGCGGGGACAGGGTGGGATGAGAGGCAGGCACAGCATGGTGCCCCAGCTTTGGGCCCTTGGGATCCCCGAGCTCTGCGAGGGGGAAGGGGGGCATACCAAAGTGAGTCCAGGAAACCGAGGGGGGCGGAGTGCCGCTGATCTTGCAGTCAAAGCGGGCCGAGCGGCCCTCCAGCACCTCCAGGTCCTCCAGCAGCCGTGTGAACAGGGGCGCCAGCGAGGGTTGCACCGTCAGCCGGGCGCTGCACGTCAGCTCGTCTGGGGTCAGAGGGGGGATGCACTGGAGCAAGGCAGGCCAGGGCACCCCAACCCCTCCCACAGCGGGGTCGAGAGCTGGAGCCTGTGCAGTAAGGCAGTGGGCACAGAGCCAGACTGGTCCTTCTCAGCCAGGGTGGGCAGCAGGCTGCCACAGTGGGCAGGGGAGACAGACGGAGCCCCATGCCTGGCCCTCCTCCTCCCACACACACACCACCTCCTCTGGTTCACCCAGGACAAAGTCCAGTCCCAATCTGAGACAGACTTCTAGGAGCCAAGTCGGCTGGCTCCCCACGCCCCCTCCAAGGACCCCTGGCTTCCCAGGGAGTGGCTGGGCTTGCCCACAGCCCTCCGGCCTGCCTCCCACCGAGAGTACAGGCCCTTTTGTGGGGACTCCGTGACCCTGTCAAATCTCCCGTGTGAGACACCGCAGCCTGGAGACAGGCGCCGTTATCTCTGCTCTCAGCGAGGACGAGCGGGAGGTCAGAGACGCCATCAATAATGATAATGGCTGGCGTCCGTGAGGCATCCCCTCGGCAGGTGCTGTGTGTGTGCTGTACGCTGGTTAACTCATTAATCCTGCCCAGCGCCTGGCAAGGTGAGCGAGCGTAATAAACCGGCAGAGACAAATGGCCTAAAGTTCAGACGAAGTGACTGGTCCGCAGTCACATAGCTAGAACTACAGTCCAACTTGGTTTCCCATACCGCAAGGGCATGTCCCCGAAAGTAAGGGCAGCGTCTAGGACCAGGCACAACCCCCAGGGCTTCCCATGCCACTGTTGCTCGTTGTCACGGAGTTGATTTCTACTCAGGAAACCTGGAGGGTGGGACCGAACTGTTCCGGCTTGCTCTCAAAGCTGGGACCTTTAGGAAGCAGAGTGCCAGGCCGGTCTTCTGAGGGACCACCTGCTGAGTGGGTTTGAACTGCCAACCTTTTGGCACGTAGTTGAGCGATCAACCATGTGTGCCACCCAGAGGCTCCATGCATTCCACGTATTAACTCATCTTATCGGCAGATTGCGCGGGTCCCTCCCCTCTGCACCTGCCCCGGGAGATGGGGGCGGCTGTTAGGCACGTAGCTGGCCTCTCTTGGGAGGCCCTGCTGCAGCTTGGGTAAGCGAGTACCTTTGGCCGTGCTGAGTTTGCAGGTGTAGACGCCGCTGTCATCTTCGTGCACCGAGGTCAGCAGCAGCTTGCATTTCCGGCCGTCGAAATGCATCTTACATTTGAGCAGGGCGGGTTGCAGCAGGCGGCCACGGCACAGCCAGTCCACCTCCACGTCGGCAGGGCCCACCACAAGGCACTCAAACAGTGCCATCTCCCCGGCCCCCACGTCCACGTCCTGCAGGGGGGCCAGCACAGCCAGGGACCGGCTTTCGGGGTGTGCTGGGAGGAGAAGGGCCACGGTGACACACACAGAGCAGAGACACACAGGGCAGGGGAGACACACACACAGGCACACACAGAGAGACAGACAGAGAGAGAGATGCATTTTGTTCCCCTGGAGACAGGGCACACCTGCCCATCCAGCCAGGGCAGCAAGGGGCCCCTAGGCCTGGCTTCGAGCTGGCCACCCACCCGGGGTCAGGGTGACAGACTCTTGGGAGGCGAAAGTGACTTGACCGAGGGCAACCCTAAGGGGCTGAGTGGCGGAGACAACGACGTTGGTGGCGGCGGCGGCGCAGGGCAGGGGGAAACACACGAACACCAGTTGGGTATAAACTGGACTTTATTTGAGCTAAGAAATAGGGGTTTTCAAATAGCCCCATGCCCACTCCAGCAGCCTCCCTTCCCCCCACTCCCCCTGCACCAAGGCTGGCTACCCTCTCGTGCCCAACAGGGCCTGACAGTGGCCATGGGAAGCCGAGAGGATGATGGGCCAGGGCTGGACTGGGCTTCCTCCGCAGCCCAGAGCCTGGGGCCTCTGGCTTTTGATCTTGTGTACAAGAGAACGTGTTGTGCCCTGTGAAGCCTATTTCTGGAATGATCCCTGGGAGCCCTTCCCCCCTGGGCCCCTCCATCCTGTGGACCCCCTGCCCTGCCCTGCCCCAGGTCTCAGACTGCCTCTGAGGCATCCTTCCCTGACTATCACAGACGCACAGACAGACAGATAGACAGACGGACAGTGGCCTGTAGCAGCAGTAGCACATGCGCTCGCTCGGTGCTCCCCTGGGGGGAGGGACTGGGGGGGGTTGTCTTCATACCCCTGTGGCTGTCCCTTCCCAGCACAAAGTCCATCTGGGGGCCTCCTGGCCTGCCCAGCCCAATGTCCACTTGGGAAAGGTGGCCCATGGGGGCCCATGGGGTACCCCAGGGGCCTGACAGGGAGGTGGGGTATGGGAGGCTGGGACGGGGGTCCGGGCCGGCGGGCCGGCTGGGTCTGTGGGCAGGAGGCAGTGAAACACAGCGAGGTCCGAGGTGCCTGAGACAGGGGCTGGCTCGGAGGGTAGCAGGGGGGAGCTCAGGCGGCCCCCTGAACTCACTCGCCTGTGTACAGACAAAAACCTCAGTCAGCAAGCGGCAGGTTAGTGCAGCGCACGCACGCGCGCGCACACACGCTCACACACGCTCACACGCACGCACAGCCACACAGACCTGCCTAGGGCCCCTACACCAGAGCTGCCTTAGACTGCCAGATGCCACTATCACTTCCATGCCACCCCCCTCCAGATTAGCCCCCGGGTGGGGGCGCCAGCCAGAGACTGGGTCTCCGGGTTCCGAGCACTCACGGGAGCATCAGGAGCACCCAAAGCATGGGGCATTGGGACTGTGCAGACAGAAGCACCGAGACACGTGCTAACACGCAGAAGGCAGGCGGAGGCAGGCCCACCAGGACGAGGGGTGCCAGCTGGGGCCCAAGAACCGAGACACCAAGAAGGTGGTCACAGGGGGGCAGAAGCCTGGGGCTTGGGGTAGGGGCCCAGTGGATCCTGGGAAGATCTCAGAGCTGACACCAGCCAGGCTTGAGGGGCCTCCTAGGAGCCAGGGTGGATGATGCTGCGTGCAGAGCTGGGGAAGGGGTCTGAGCCATGCTCAGGGCAGAGTGCAGTGGGAGGCAAAGCGAGCGAGGGGGATGCCCTCCCCTGGCAGAAGGTGCTACTGCCCTGGAGGAGCCTGCTGGGTCCCAACCTCCACCATCAGAGAGGGCCCCACCCTTATGCCGCTGGTTCTGGGGCCCAGCACTCTCCACACTCCACACTCACGTTCACCCTGCCACCTGTGGGGCCCCTGAGATGTGTGAGGCCCAGGTCACCCCCAAAGTTACTCCGAACGGGTCCAGTCACTAGACTCTCACTGCTGCCCCTCAAACCACAATGGCTCTGCACAGTAATGGGGAGGGCAGGAGGGGTGCAGTGAGAAGGGGCTTGTGGGGGCGCACAGTGACAAGGCTGAGGAGGAGGAGGGCAGCAGCAGCAAGCAGGGTCTCTGGCTGACGTCTGGGCAGGCATGATGGCCCAGGGCAGGACTGCAGGACTGACCACAGAACACTAAGTGCTGGTGGCCCAGGGCCAGTCATTGCCCCTCTCTGGGCTTCAGGGGAGACAGCTGGACTTGGCGGCCTCTCAGACAGAAAGGTCCCTCTCTGAGACAGGTCTTTCAGGCTAGCCTTCTCCAAGGCTGTGTGAGCCCGGGCAGTCAGAACCCACAGTCAGGGCGAGGCTGCATTGAGGGGAGGAACAGGGACTCACCTCGGACCTCCAGGCGGGCCTCGCACTGCCGGGCTCCATACTCATTGACTGCTTTGCAGGTGTAGAAGCCAGCATCGCCACGCTCGGCCGCCAAGATCCGCAGCCGGCATAGCCCACCCTCTGCCTCCTCCGCGAAGCGCCGCTGGTCTGGGCGTACGGGCTGGCGGTTCCTCAGCCTGTGGGGAAGTGGGGGGGCCATGAAGCTCAGTGTGTGTGGGGGGGATGCCCAGGGCCCTCATTCTAGCCTGACCCTGATAGCCACACCCTTGGCTACAGGGCTACCTGGTTCTGCCATCCCTCTTGTCCAGAAACTTCCAGACCATCTGTGCCCACCTGTGCCTCTCCCTTCTGTGCCACCTCATGTAGAGAAATGTCCCCTGGCTTTGGTGATTTACAATGGACAGACGGGAAGCCCACTTGCCCCAAAGGGTTATGACATAACTTACAGTGTTTAAAAGAATTTTAAAAAGAAGCATATTGACCAGTTAACAAAAAACTCAGGCTGAACCCACAAAAAGAGGGTGAGCTCTGTGCCAGGTGCCCCAGGTCCTAGGAGGGGGGTGGACGGGGGACCCAGGTTTAACTCTGGGCTCCTGGTGGCTCAGGGACAATGTGCGGCTGTACCTGTGCCCAATCCCGGGCTGGGCACAGTGGCCACACTCACCCCGTCCATCCTGAGGTGGGGAAGGGGCAGGCTTTCTTCTCTGGGTGGGAGAAGACTCCTGGAAATCCATCCCAGGTGGGCAGAGCTGTGCTGCTTGGCCTCAGACCCCCTCCCAGAGGAGGATGTGTAGGACGTGTCCTGAACGCCAGGGTAGGGGCAGGTGTGCTGGCCCATGGGCTTTGTGCACCTGTCTGGTCCCCACAGCCAGGCCAGCCTCAGCCCACTCCCTTCCCTCATCTGCTCCCACCCAAAGCCAGGCCTCAGGTGGCTTTGCCTGTTTGGAATGAAAGGCGTGGGGGTGTCTGGTGGGCGGGGCGAGGTCGGCACTCACCAGGAGACCACTGGCTTGGGCTCCCCCTGAACACGGATGCTCATGGTGACATCCTGGCCTTCTCTTACCGACTGGTCCATGAGTGAGACCTGAGGGGAGACCCCAAAGTGTCAGGGAGATAGCAGGGCACCCCTCAGGCTCTGCAGGCTAGCGGGGCTAGACCGGCAGGCTCCCAGGCCCAGACTGACTGAGGTGAGCTTGAGGTGAGGAGGGATCATAGGAAGAGCCCCAAGCGGTACAGAGCCTGGGTCCCAAGAAAACGGGGGCACATAGAGGCCCGGGGGTCCCGGAGAGCTGACCTTGAAGGTGGGGGGTGCCTTGGAACCAGTGTCGAAGGAGCGGTGGTTCTGGCTGGGACTGGGCTTCATGGTGGCAAGGAGGGGCCAGCTCTCCCCGGGCTCCTCCGGGAACTCCTCTGGGGGACTCAGGTACTCCTCATCAGAGGTGATGGGGCTGCTGAAAGGGGACGTGGACCCGCCTGGAGGAGAGATGGTGGCTCTGAGCGAGGCTTGGGCACGCTAGGCCAGTGGGCCCTGGGGCCCCACACAGAGCCCGGTGCGGTCTCCACCTGCAGGGGTGCCCCCGCCCCCACTTGCTGTGTGACCTGGGTCCTTGCACTTCCTCTCCCAGCACTGGCCCTGCTGGTGTCCCTGGGTGGGGACAGTGCGGGGACGGGCCATGGACAGCAAAAGGGCCACTCTTTGGCCTGATGGGAGTACCGCTGGAGCAGGGACTAACATGCTTGGAGAGGAGGGGCCTTCAAGGGTCAGCTGCAGGCTCCTAAGGCCAGGGGCTCAGGTCTGGGCCCCAGAGTCTTGGTGTCAGGGACACCCGCTGCTGGGCGAGCCGGGCCTGGTGCACAGGCACACACACCTCAGCCAGGCTCCATCCTGGCTGCGGTGCCAAAGCCAATGAGGAGACACACTCCAGCCTGCCCTTCCCCCTCTCCCTTCTCAGCTTCCTGCCCCAGATACCCCAAGGCCACCTGTTGGCCCCCAGACCCGACAGCTCAGACCCTCAGACTCTCAGGGGACTGCAAGCAGTGGCAGCCACTCACAGGGAAGGGCTGCTGAACCTGGGGGAGAGGGGGAGGCACCAGCGTCAGCCCTGGGGGAGGGGTGTCCCCAGGGCCCTGACGGCCTCCCCCGCGACTGGACAGGGGCCCAGGCTGGTGAAGCTGGCTCCCCTCCAACTGCCAAATACAGACATGAATCGGCCACAATCCACCACCATCCCCCACCGCCCTTCCTCCTGGTTCTCCCACCCCAAGCCCCTGTGACCCAGCCCCAGGCAGGAGTGCACCCCGACTCACCCCGAGACTCTGCTCCTGAGAGGACCCCAGCCTGTGCCTGTCCTGAAGGCTCCACCCTGGGCCCAGTCCTTCCTGAAGCCTGCCCACTGCCCACCTTGTCTCAGGGCCAGGGCCCTGGGGGACAGAAGCCCGCCTGCCCAGCCCCAGACGTCCTGCTTCTTGCTGACCCTGCTGAGGTTCCCCACAGAGGAGCCAGGGGGGAGGGGCAGGAGCTGAGCAGGGGAGGAGGAGCAGCCGGGAGACTGGGTGGCAGGCAGCTGGTGGGAAGGTGGTGCTGCTGAGACCACAGGCAGCCTGGCGCTGGCTGCAGGGAGGGAGGAGCGGGGAGGGGCCGGCAGCCGGCTGGATTTAGCCAAGCTCATTCCCGGGCTGCTGGGTCTGCCTTTTCTCTCCTTACGGCTCTGGACCCTGACAAGGGCAAAGCCCCCTCAGCTGAGCACTCTGTGCAGGGTGCAGGGCCCTCGGAGTGGCACTGGCCCCAGGTGTTCAAGGCTCTAGTACCACCAGTCAGAGGAAAATGCAAAAGCCTGCCCTCAACCCCGCCCCTGCCCATGCCCTGAACAAACCACCAAGATCCCTGCCCCAGAGCAAGCTGGGGCTCCCATTCTACCGTGCTAAGCCATGCCCAAAGGGCACTGGTGGTGCACTGGGCTAAGGGTTGGGCTGGGAACCACTAGGTCAGTGGTTCAAACCCACCAGCTTCTCTGAGAGAGAAAGATGAGGCTGTCTGTCAGGGCCACCTCGATGGCAGTGGGTTTGGGGCATAAACCACACCCTGTGTTCTCCAGGGATGAGGGGCAGAGAAAGCGCCAGGACCCTTGGCCTGAGGGGTCCCAGACATAAAGGCCCTCGTCCCTCCATGGTCAGGTTAGCCCAGCGGGGCCACCCCCAACACCCAACTCTCCTACAAAACACACCTGTCGGCAACTTTCTCCTAGCCCCATCAACCCCAACAGCCAGGAGAGGCTGCCGCTTCCCCCCAGATGCCCCAGCATGTGAAGTGGGGCAGGAGAGAAGAGGAGGTGCTCTCAGAGTGAAGTGTCCTATCCAGTGTCCTTCCCCTCCTCCTTGCACCTCCATCGCCAGGACCGCATTCCCAAGCTCTGACCTGTGTTTCCAGCATAGCCCTGGAAGGAGGAGGGGTGGAGCCAGCCAGGGGAGGGGCCCACCGCTCTGGTGGGTTGGTCGTGAAGTGGGGTTCGGGGGACTGAAAGCCACTCTGTGAGCGTCTGCTGGGGGCTCGGCCCTCCACTGACACGGGGGCACAGGCTGGTCCCTGGAGGTGGGTGGCCTTCCTGCCCCTCCTGGAGTGTGTAGCCTGGTTCCAGGGTCACCTCCAGCTGGACCAGAGGTGTTCAGGGAGTTTCAGAGACACCTGGTGGCAGCAGGGGGAATAACATCTTGGGGTTCACCAAGGGGCCCCAAGTCCTCAAGCCCTTTAGAGAGGGGGTCTATGGGAGCAGTCTATGCAGGTGCCTCAGACCTATGAGGGGTGGCACTTTGTACCCCTAACATTGGGTGGCCAAGGCAGCTGTCCAAAGACCTCCACCACTGGCTTACAGAGGTTTCCTTAGCCTCCCCAGCAGGCTCTAGTGTCTACCCCACACCTCAAGATCTCACTGTAGAGAATAGTTATACCAGGCAGGGAAGGGAAACAGATGCCCCCCCTACATACACAACCGTCCCTATCAACTGGTCATGTCGATTACTCCCCTTCCCTCTCCCCAGCAGACACACGCTTGGTTGGTATCCACCCTGAGATGGCACAGAAAGGCCCGGCTGGCTACCTCTGGAGCCCAGCTCTACTCTGACCCACACGGTATTGTCATATTGTAACTGACTCGACAGCATCCGGTCTGGCCCTTTCAACGCTGAGCTCAGGCTGGGATCCTACTGCGAATAGAGCAGGGCTTCAAACTGGTTCAAACCGGTTCAGTCACATCCAAAGGAAACAAGGGCAGCTCTGTGTTGCATAGCAACTGAATCTTTGGTGACTGATTCAGGCATCCGCTCCCCCCTCAAAGATGGAGCCCCCCCCC